GGATACATGGAAATACTTTCTATTTAGCACACAGATACTTGCACTTGGAAAAGCTTGTGCATTAATAGTGAAGGAAATGCTGTGACTAAACTGCTAAACTAGAGTGGGTGAGATAAGAAAATAATGTATACAGCTAACATTATGTTAACTACTCAATAATGGAAACCCAGTTTTGCCATTAAGCCAGAGACTCGCATGCAATGTATGCACTGTGAGGCGCTTGATGCAGAGAATTTAACACAGAGTTAAATTCTGAAGTTTTTGAGTTTTCAGATTCAGAGTGAAACCAAGGGCAATATTTGGCTCTTTTTCTTAATTTTAAAGTGAAATAAGACTATTTCTATATAACCTTAGCCTTGAAGTGTTTATTATTTACTCATTTTGGTTAAGTGATATTTTAAAAAGACAAATTATCTGTTGTTGTTAATGAGCAACAGGATGATGAAGTCAGTAGGACTGTGGCCAATTACACCAATAGTGAATTTTACAAAGCGTGTCTAACTGGCAGGTCAAAGTATTATTTTAGTCATATGAATATGTGGGTTTAAGTGTTCTGTGCTGACTGGAATTCTCTTTGACTCAACTCATTTTAAGAGTCATCTATTAGTTTTAGAAAATCTGCACAGGACAACTGTAACTTTATTAAATATTATTAAATAGGTGATTTATTAAACACATAAAAGCAAGCTGGAATACTACAGAGCTTTATTCTTACTTTGAATTTTGTGAGAAATTTATTCTTTTAAAAAAAGATCCAGATGTTATATGTCTGAGTTTCCTGTTAGGATGTTTCCAAAAGCCTGATGCTTTCTTCAGCATACTTAAAATACACGGGGTCAGATCCCTGGCTGCTGTTAACTTGTGTAACATCATAGGATCCAGCAGAATTCCTTTAAATATATGCCAGAAGAGGATGAAGCCCACATTTTGATCCTTTGTTTTAAAAATTACTCTTTTTCAATTATTTGACTTCATTTGTTGCAGAGCTTAGAAGTACACACAGCATAAGATAGCACCCCTCTCCCAACTAACCCCCAGAATTAAAAAAAACAGCAACAATAACAACAAAACCTAAGAGCATACAGTGGCAAAGGTGAGATTCAGATTTCACAAAAATCATCAAATCCCACAGTCTTCTTGACTTGTCCTGCTGGTGCTCGTACATTATAAGAATCTTTCATAACAAAAAACACACAACATACAGGCAGGCACATCAAATGCTATTTATTTACATGTAAGGTAACAGAAGAAGGTGGTTTAAACACAACAGTGCAAAGTTCAACTTCATTATAAACAATTACTGAAGGACCTAAGTTAAAAGAAGAACAATTCCTTTCTATTGGTTTACTATAATGCCTTTAAAATAAGAAGCATACTACTATGTTGCCATAAATCCTAAAGATATAATTTATAAATGGAAATTTTCAATTAAAAAAATCAAATGTTGAAAAGCAGGGAAACGATTTAAGGTGAACCAAACAAAATTTAAGTCTGCCTACATATTCCTATCAAAAATTTGTTTCATTTTCTAAAGTGGAGTAATGTAGTATTTGATAAAAGAGTATCTATATCATAGCTAGTTAATATAATCACCTTTTATACTTTGTTTGACTAGGGATCCTGCCTGCTAAGCATATCTTAACTTGTGCTGTGATAGTGTGATTTCTATAGCCAGAGATAGGCAGTGGAACTCCAGAGGTTTGCAGACATGACCAGAGAATACAGATTGTGCAATCTTTGTAGATTGGTTAGAGTTTGGTAAAATGAACATCATGCAGATATGCAAGGCCACAGTGTTAAGATTGCTGTGGTAATCATTATTCTGTATTTCTTGACTCATATGCCAATCTTTTATGTTGTAGTGACACAATCTTTCATTTGGTTTTGATACTTTTATAAGGAATAATAGAGAAAAATGAAAAAAAATCACTGTGGAAAATTCTGCCATTAATTCTACAAACTCCCCTACTAAATGAAAAGTAATCTTCTGGGCTGCCATAAAGGAAAATCAATTTGGTGTCTGTTGTTTTACAAATACAGAGATCCTGAAATTAAGAGAGTCATGTTGAAAGTGCAATATCAAGATCAATAAAATTAGCTAAATGTATATTTGCAAAAAGAAATGATAACAACAGAGCTTGATGTGGACAGAAAGGTATCCAAGAGTGTACTTACTAAGTGAAGGATTATTTATATCTGTGAGCAACCCATTTCAGCAGCTAACTGAAGTAAATACATTTTCATCCAAACGCAGTAGGGGTACTCACTGCATTGAAAGTGATCTGTTTGTTCAATTAGTCATAATTCAGAGACACACAGACAGCAGCTTGTGCCTAAAGAAACCTCTGTTCTAGAGGCTTATTTTTCTTTAAAGAAGTAAACACCAGCCTCTGGGATCCCCATCCATATGATAACCCTGCTTCAGCCCTGCTTGCTTTTAAAAATAGCAGCCAAGAATAACATTCAGTCAGTACAGTCTTGCTTTTTCTTGATTGTCTTGCTGCTGCTATTTCAACTGTAATTTCCAGTGATTCGCAGTGCTATTATTTGAGTTTTGCACCATTAACTTTAATATTTTATGAAGTGCTGGAAAGGTGGGAGAAGGATCTGACGGCTGAAGCAATAGACAAAGAATTAGAGCTCTGGCTGCTATCCCCAATTGTTACATTTTTCCTGTGGACCCCTTGGCAAGCTATTTGGTTTCTGTGCTTTTATTTTGTAGGCCCTGAAAACGGGGATACCATTAGTATATCATGCTAGTGCACTGAGATAGTAGCGTAATTTGGGGAAGGGGGTGGAAGGGAGAGGGGGAGGAGAGATGCAATAAGTCACCAACCCCAGAAGGAGATTCAGAGTGAATGCCAGAATGACAGTCCCAGGGAGATTATGCCCATGCCACAGTCCATGCTGAGGGAATTTGTGCCAAGGCAGCAGTAGCCTGTGCAGCTGCCACCACCACCAGTCTGAGCCAGGAGGTAAGTGCTTCCACTGCGCTGTTAGTGGGTGCCAACATTTGAAGTTACACCTCTGCACAGCAGAGTTAATCTGGACCAGTTGTACTGACTCATAGCAAGAAAGACTGTGCCCCAGATTTACAACCTAAGTACTCATCACCCCTCTAAGATGTGCACAAGAGAAAGATATGTGCACAGATCTACACCATAACAGCTCTGAAGCTCCCTGGACTATCAAAAGCCTTTCATTAGGATCCACACAGGGAGGAGAGGTGGTAAAGGAGCATGGAGCTTCTTCCCCAATCTCTGCATTATCATTTCTGGGTTGCACCCTACAAAGTGGGCAGCTGTGACCTTGAGGAGTCTCTGGTATACAACTCCAATGGGGCCACTGCTGTCCTACTACATTGAGAAAGGTTTGCACATTGCTGTGACTTAGCAACCTTTTTTTTGTTCTCATTTATGATTCACATAGCAGTGACACCCAACAGCCAATGGCAAGAATCAAAGTCCCATGGGTTAGTGAAAAAAAATCAAATGTACTCCCAAGCTCAAGGGCCCATTGGGTTAGCTATTGAGACTCAGTTCTTGCTTCAAAAAGCTCACTGCTTAAGAGGGTAAAAGTTTCTAAGTGCACTGGGTGGTCTCAACATGGTTTTGCAATTAGACATTTTTGGTTTATAGTGCCAGCACTTGTAGCATGATATGTGCTGGTCTGATCTAAATTCCAAACCTTCCTTCATACCTTCAACTAAAGTCAACTTCAGCTTCAGTTTCTTCTTTCAATTAAGGCCATGTCTGGCTATGAAAGTGGTTACACAACAAATCTCTGTCACGCCATTTTTGTCCCTGGTCACATCTTGAATTAAAGTATTGCTTAGCATGCAGTTTCTGTACATGGTTTTGAAATCTTCAAAGAATTCAACACATTTGTGCTTTACTGACCAATAGATACAAGTGGGTCCTGATATTTAAAAGTAGCACAGTAAAAATCTGAAATTTTCCTGGTAAGTGAAAACTTTCCATTTCACTGATCTTGCCCATTCTTCCTAACCATATTTAGGTAACGCCTACATTTTAAAATCTAACCTTCTAAACCCCCAATCTAACCCCCAAATTTTCATGCCTGAAATGAGAGCCAGCTTGATGAAATGTCTTTCTAAAGCAGTTTTAGGAGGGCATTTAAAGGCCCCAAATCAACAAAGAACTTAAGTATGCGATTAGCTGAGTGCACATGCTGAAGTGTAAATGAAATCTGAGACCCAAACTTTCCTGAATCAGAGTATCAGTGACTAAAAGGGCCCTTTAGTATAGAAGTAGTTTTGTCTTTGACCTTCATTGTAGCAACATTACTACCATGTTATAATCCTGTGCCTCAGTTTCTGTGTTCTTATAACAAGATTATTTATCATTAAGACTTACTTACCATTTCCCTTTTCATGTATCATCTGAGATCTGACACTTTTATTAATCTGGTTGTTCCAAAGGTTACAGTGCTCCTTATTAGTCAGTCTGTTGAATTTTTCATCAGCTGTAGCTGAACATGCTTTCAAAGGAATTGAACTTAACAACTTTTATATCTCCGTATCCTTTCAGTTATAAATTGGTTCACACATTAAAAACTGTGAAGCTCTGACATATCTGCTGCTTTATTACCTATTCTCTTTGTCTCTCTTGTTTTATTTGAAATATGTGTATCTTTTAATATCAGTATATATATAACTATATACTTATTTTCTCAGATAAACACGATGTGATAATTGTTTTTATTCATGTGTGCTAATAGGTCACTACTGATCAGGTCACCCTTGAAAGTGGCAGCTTACTTATGGCAATGTAAATATCTTTTTGTTTGCATGATATACAGTGGATGCAATCACATTTAAGCCCAATACCACTTAGCGGTCATATTGTCAAGTGGACTGTTCTGGGTATCCAAGAATAGTCTTACTATCTCTCATATAAAACTAATGCCTATGTTTACCAAATGACTGTTAGGTTTTACTTCCATCTGATATTTCCCCCCGCCCCACTCTTTCCCTGTAGATGAAAAAGTACATTCAAGTGATTTCTACCATGACCTCAACAAATTGATGATGAAAAGAAGGAAATTGTGGGATTACTCCTTTCAGCTTCCCTGGACAATGGAAGGAGAGCCATTCACTTCTGCGTTGTTGCCAGCTGAGAATATTCCACCAGACTCTAGTATGACCCTGGAACAGAAAACCACATTTGTCTTTGTGATTTTATTGTTTATTTTTTTAGGAATCCTCATTGTCCGTTGCTTCCGAATTCTCCTAGATCCGTACAGGAGTATGCCGACATCTACCTGGGCTGACGGACTTGATGGACTTGAGAAAGGCCAGTTTGATTATGTGTTGGCTTAGAGACTGAAAACTCAGAAACATTACCCGCCCCCCCCCCCCCCCCCCCCCACCCTCCTCTACCTCCCCCCCCCAGGTTTCCTCAGTTGCTATAACTGCCTCACACAAGTGCACAAAATATTAAATTGTACTTTTTACAATAAATTAAGTCAAACATTTGAAGGATTTGCAATCCTTCCAATAGAAAAGAAGAAAAATCTAAACTTTTCCTTGGCAAAACCCTCCTTCAAAATGCATTGTAACAATAAATAGTCTGAGCCATATCTTAAAATGTAAAATAATGCTTGTGATTAGTTTTGCTGGAGAAAGCTTTATTTTATGAAAGAAGCTTTTACTAGAAAATAGTCTGTAGATATACAGAGGAGGTAAGGTGTGCTTTTATGATTTGTATTTGAAAACTAATTATAATTTTTCCAAGTCCTACTAAGCTGTTTTTCCACTTCACTTTCTCCAGTCAGCAGAAAGGTAAGGGAGTTGCTGTAAGTTTTAAAGCTTTAGGATATTTTGGGGTATGGAGTAGGGACCTCTTGCATGTCCCCTGAGAAAATCAAACCCCAGTTCTTACCTGGTATGAAAACAATATTGAATTTATGTAGTACTAGCAAACTAGACTTGGCAGAAGTGTTAATTGTGAATAAATTCTTTGATGAATTTGGCACATTTTTTGTCTTTGCAAACCAAAGCCAAGCTCTGCAAATGGATTGGTGATTCCTCCATTCTGGCATTAGCCAAATGATTTATACTAAAACATTTCAGCTGATTCGGTGCTCATCAATTGTTCATGTTGCGTATTTGTTTTGCCTTCCATTATGTGTAAATCATGCACTGTTTTTTCATGCTGATTTGGATAACTGACATATCTGAGAATGAAAAGAGCAAATGAAAGTGAATTAACTATTCTGATCATGGTCACACAGCCTTTTACGTGGGACTTCGTACAAAGAAAAGCCATTTCTGTATGCTAAAAACCTGTTTACATGATTGATCAAAAGATTGAGTTTTAAGAGATTGCATAAAATTGACTGGAGTGGTTGCTTAAAATTCAAATGGATGATCACAAGCATTGCTTAGCCATAGAGAACAGCTGTATTAGGAGTGCCACTGTATGTGCTTGGAACTGCCAAGCATGTAAACGCCAGTCTGCTCAGATGTAAACTCATGAGAAACTTGTAAAGCATTTTAATGCAGTGCAGTTTGAATATCTCTTTATGCAAGAGGGAAGGAGGTGCCTCTTTCAGTGTGTGTGAGCAGCCTGTGCCTTAAATTAAGCTACATCAAATGTAAGAATTTTGGGATTATCGATAGCTACAATCCCTTTGTGCTGTGTTCAGTTTACTGTCATCACGGGGAACATTCAACACCAGTTCCTCAGCTGGCATAAATGCTGACTTGTGTCAGCTGAAGATTTGGCCTTTATGCTCTTCTGCATAAAAAAAAGACACTCAGATAAAGAAGCAAACTCAATCTTCTGGCTTGCTTCCTAGGTAGCTGTGTAGCAGTGCCACTGCAAGATAGAAAAATATTGTCAGTGTTGCTGAGCCAGCCTAGCCCCTAGCGATGTGCTGCCAGTATTTAGTAAGAGGTTCCAACACCATTCCTTCCTTTGGCCTGCAATAAATTCCAGGTATATTTAGAAAAGGGAAGGGTGTGAGAGTGAAGAATCTGTTCATTTCTTTTGCTTTAAATGATAAAAATATAAATAAGAGCTTTCTCCCCACTGGAACAAAAAGGAGGCAATATTCCTGGGTAAACATACACATATAGCACAGGTTTCCAGCTTGGTCATTGGGAATTCTTGCATGTGGGACTTGGAGTTTGGGAAATATCTGACACTTGGTGCCTCCTGATCCATTCTGAAGAGAGAAAGATGTTCTTCCAGTGTACTTTAATGAACCACAGAGATAAGTTATCCCAGTAAGGTAATTTAGCCATATTGTCAAAGCTTAACAATCATCTCCTGAAAACACTTTTGCAGCTCATCATTTTAGGTAAATCATTTTTTCCTCTATACAGAACAGGCCATTGAAAGAGCAGAACAGTATTTCATTCCAGGTGGGAAAAAATGGGAACAAGTTCACGTCTCATAAGAATACCGGATTGCTGACTGGTTAAGTGGAAATATTAAGTGGAAATGGAAAGTCTGAGGGTCAAAGCGGCTCTACATGACTCTGCCATATAGGCTGGGCCCAATGTGCTAGTTTATCCAACTGTTCCTTGGAGACTATCCCAGACATATGGAGAAGAAATGCACTAAAATGTTAATATTCCATATAAAATCATATATTTACTCCACTTACTGTGGAGAATAAGAGTTTTAGTTGTATTATTTTTATGCATATCCTATGTGTTCTGGCTTATCTGCTGGAAATTGTCCTGCCTGAGGGCAAGGAATAAAGTGAAAGGGAGCTGCTGTGGGGAAGCAAACAAGAGTAGCCAGAAGCTCCTGAAAGGAGCAACAAGGGAATCCCTTATCTCAGAGGAGTCAAAGACATGGCCTGCACAGCCACATCATCCAGCCCCTGTACTATCCCTGGGCCTCAAGTTGACCAACATGCCACGTGTGACACATTCTGGACTGGCTGCGTGTACAGGGTCTGGGATATGTGGCACATGTAGCAAATGCTTCAGGACAGAAACTGCATGCAGGCCAAACTGGGACTCCCCCCATATGCTGGATCCAGCTCCCACAATGCCTGCTCTGGCCAGTCTAGGACTGCTGCATGCAGTGCCTGCTCTGCCTGGTCTTGGACACAAGTCACATGCATTGCCCATTCCAGCTGGTTTGGGGCAGACACCAAGTATGGTTCTGGATGGGTATGCAGGAATGTCAGCCCAACTGGCAGCCCATGGGCCACAGGCAGCCTGCAGGTGGTTAAACAGGATCCACCCGACTCCCACCCAGCAGCCACTTCCCCCACGGCTGTGGTTGCAGCAGCAGCCCAGGCTCCAGGTTCCCCCTCCCTCTGGCTTCCCCTTTCTGCAGGGCCAGATGAGTTTGACACCCTGCCTTACCTGGTCAGTCCACTTGCCAAGTGCCAACCAGGCTAGTAAGGTAGATCTGACCCTAAGATCTAACTGTTACAGCCAGGCTGCCCAACTTCTAAGCAGCTAGGGGGTACATGTCCCTCAGGCTCATTAGCTGGAGCCATATCAATGGGGGCCATGGGCCCTGGGGCTGCATGCTTCCCACCCCCACTGCATGGTGCACCCTGGTGCCCCTGCCACTTACCCCCCGTTCTCCTATTGCGCTGCATGTCCAGATACCCCTTGCAGCTGCACTGTGTGCCTGGGTCAACCTTGCTGCTGCACTCTGTGTACTCCCCCCTTCCCCCCTCCCCCGGGTACCCTGAATCACCCTTAGCTCCCCAGCTGTGAGCTGCCCTGCTGCACCATGCCATTCAGGCACCCTGGACTGGAGGCTTCCCCAGCATTGCAGGCTGTGCTGTGCTGTGCTGTGCTGCCCCTTGCCCCACCCCATAGAGAAGGAACAGAGGCAGAAAGGGGAAGCCAGAGGGAGGGGGAACCTGGAGCCTGGGCTGCTGCTGCAACCACAGCCGTGGGGGAAGTGGCTGCTGGGTGGGAGTCGGGTGGATCCTGTTTAACCACCTGCAGGCTGCCTGTGGCCCATGGGCTGCCAGTTGGGCTGACATTCCTGCATTATAGGATCTTGGGCATAGAAAAGGAAGGGAAGAATTGGTGAGCAGATTGGCTGCAGCTGCCATCAAAGTATGAGGGAATAGCTTCTGTGCTGCAGTCAAGTTGTGACATCAGTTCATGCACACATAGCTGAGTTAGCTTTGAATTACCTTGCTCCAGTATTCAGCTAGCTCAGCATAGCCACAGCAGCATGGAACCCCAGCCATGCTGCAAACCCTGCCTGGGAACCTGGGTAAATATTCTTGTGGCTCCATACTGATGGACTGGCATGCTGTGGCTATGCTGTTGTCACTACCTGAGCTATACAGTTTAAAGCAACCTCAGGTCTGTGTATACTAGGGTAGATGCTACTGCCAGAAGGTGGAGACAGACAGCACAGCAGACTATTTATCCTACCAGAAGACAGGTTTGAATGCAAGAAAGTCTTAAAGTTTAAATAAGAGGAAAAATATGCATAGACTGTATTGTTTTTGCCCTTTGCTCTGCATGTGATGTACCTTGGGGGTATGAATAAATATTTGTTTTGAATAAGCTGGTTTTGTGTCCTTTTAATCAGATCCTGTCACTGCACTCCCAGAATTAAAAGGCTCACAGGTTTCAAACGTAGTTAGGCCTGTGAGGTTAAGAAGACTGGTAAGCTCCAGCCCAGAGACCCATTCTGTAGGTGCATCTGCACTGCTCTCTACTGATGGTTAGTACCACTACCAGAAGCAATCTAGCTGCTATTGCATGGAACTACCCTACTGAGAAGCAAAAACATCAGCATCAGGCATCATCATCATTGTCATCACCAGGCAAGAGTGAAGGTAGCTAAATTCTGTCTCCACTAGGGCACCCTCGAGAGGGATATAAAAGGTGTCTGAAGCACAAGAGGCCTGGTATTGTAGTAACAACATGTGTTTAAAGATCAGCCCTCATGTTGGTGACCACTACTTATGTTCAGTATCTTCCTTAGCAAATATGTTGAGTTTGTAAATCAAAGCTCCTATTCATGCTGCCACAGTGAGCATAAAAAAGCAATTGTTTTCCACTTTGTACATCCTGTTACCAGTGTTTCTAGAGTTCTGCAGCCCTTCAGACCTGTTTTCTACAGCAGCTTTTTGACAGCCTGTGTAATTTCTGCAGCATTGATAAAAGGGCCTACATCTCGGTGGATCTTGTTCACTTTGGGAAGGTGTCATCATGGAAGCATGTGTTGCTTTACATAGTACTTCTCATTCCTATATGCTAATTAATCTTCACAGTGACCCTGAGAGTCAGTGCAGAAGGGGAAGGAGAGGCAGAGATTTTAAGAGATTTTCCCTAAGGCAGAGATGGAGTGGAGATGGTATTAGAGCCAGGACTGGGTTCCTGTGCTTTGCTGAGATCAGT